CTCATCCCTTCTACTGCCGGTACCAGCGATCCAAACAAGAAGTGCTGCATCACAGGCAGCTTGCCCAGCACCTCGGCCACGAACATCCGACGCATTCCTCCGTCAATCTTGGACCACGACTTGGCTGATGAGATGTCGTCAAGCATTGGACTGTGCCACCGCAACCCCTTGACCGTCTTTGTATCATTGACAAAGGCGACTTGGCCGAGGTACAGATAATCTTTGCCGAATTCCTCAATCGTCAGTTGTTGGTGGACGGACCGTGGTGTGATATACGGGTGGTGTAGTAGCTGAGATGCACCAAAGAGAAACGGCAGAAATTGATAATCGTCCAGCCCCCACACACCGTGGGAGCCTGCGGGCTCGAGATAGTACGTCATTTGAACCGTACGCATCAGGGATAGATACTTGGGAAACACCGCTAGGGTCACGGCCTTGAAGTCGTGCTTCTGTAGCAGGCCCAGCTGATATAAGCAGAGCATCCATATCATGAAGTTAAGCTCATGGCCAGATCCATAGTCAATACGATTACGGTTTCCAAACGATTGGTCAAGATAGGTCGACACTTCTGCAATGGCCGCTTCCTTGTCGATGCCTAAGCTCTTGTGCCACTTAGGACAGTTCTCAGACACTAAGTCTAGGAATCCCCGAAAAGCCTTGTTTCCGAATCGAGAACCGCCTTGTTCGTTGGGAGGGCATTTGATAACGAGCTCCCCAGCTTCACCCAGAATATTCAAAATGGCTTTGACCGTGTCTCCAAGGTCGTCGCTCTTGACGGCTGAGCATGGCGTGTCAGTCACGCTCTCGGCGAGTCCAAATATCCATCCTTGAATTAGGCTCTGTGTAGGCGACGCGAGAAATGTTTCATGGTCCTTCTTGGACAGAATTCTCCTCTTGGGGACAATGAAGGTCCAGTCGGAGGTATTGGGCGGCGAAGGAAGGGCGGGAGTCTCGGGAACGGGAGTCGGGTTGTCTGGTTCTGGTCGTCGTCGTCGGGGTTCAAGCCTTGGGATCCTATCCTTGAGGTTTGGAATGGCAGATGCGGCATTGCGCAACGGTGCCGGTGATGACGAGGGCTGCGGTGAGGCCATGGTTGCAGCGATTACCGGCATAGAGGCTTAGAGTTGCTGATGGGAAGTGAGAGCTTCTGCAGCAACACGACTTGAAGCTTGGATATCAAGGTGGCAAGGAACTGGCCCTGGGGACTTGATGCACCAACAGCCCCGCCACAAACTGCCATTGGCTGGTTGCCGCCGCTTCCAGACTGGACAGCCATCAATTGATGCCATCTGAATACGACACTCTATTAAAATAAAACCTAGCCATAAGGCACTTGATGTCCTACTGATAGCTTATCTCAACGGAAATAGCTTTCAATGGGAACGGCAAGCGGCTACGGGCAAGGCAGGGGACCTCAAAACATCGACATTTGCAGTCAAACAGTGTTGGCCCACCGCCAGCACATGCCTGGCAGCTTTGTGTGAGCCTGCATGTGCATGTCAGGGCGAGTCCACAGTGCCAGTCTCCACCAGGCCTCAGCATGACGATGACGGTCACAAAAATTCATTCGGCTGGCGTACTCAGTATACCCCGTCGCATTTCAACCTCAAACGTCCTCGTCTCCTCAAAATGACCGCATCGTCTGAACCCCTCGCTCAACTGTCAAACCTGCCCAATGCTGACGGCTCTGCTACCTTCTCAAACTGTGGGTATGCCGTCACCGCCGCCGTCAATGGCCCCATTGAGGCGCCTCGCCGTGACGAAAACCCTTTTGAGGCGTTGATAGATGTGGTTGTGAGACCAGCCGCAGGAGTTGGAGGTAAGGATCGGCCTTTTCATCTCAACTTCTAGAGTCTAATCATTTGACCAGGTACTGCTGAGAGGCAGATCGAGTCGATGCTGCAAGCCGCGCTTCGACAGCTCATCCCGATTCGAAACTTTCCGAGATGCACGATCCAGGTCACGCTTCAGATCATGGAGGCGCCTGAGAACGCATATCAAAACACAAAGCTACTTCAGCCTCAACAGGTGAGACAGTCCTGTATAGCCATTTACTGACCTTGTTCCAGAATCCTTAGTGTCTCTAACCATGATGCTCCTCAGAATCTCGCCATCATCCCCGCCCTATTCCATGCCGCTATCCTTGGGCTGTTGACTGCTGCCATCCCTCTCAAGACGATTGCAACAGCAACAACGATTGCTATTCCGGCCGGCTCTGGCGCCCTCATCATTGACCCGAGCACTGAAGAGTCGGCCAAGGCCACGTCTCTCCACGCATTAGCATTTACATCTCACGACGAGCTGTTACTTGCCGAAAGTTCTGGGTCATTCTCGATTGAGGATTGGGACAGGGTTCTGGAAACTGGTCAGCGTGTGTGCTGCCGAGATCACGAATCAGGGCTCGACGCAGCCATGTCGGGAGATGGACTGGAGTCGCAAAGCATCAAGGCATTCATCCGATCAGTCATGGAAACCAAGACCAGGACAGATCTCAACTGGAAGCGAAGTCTGGACCAATGAGTTCTCGAAGAATGCCCACGATGCAATAGCACCATCCCTACAGGATTGCCGCGTAATTTGTCCCAAGCCCTCCTATGGCACAGGGAGGGAGAAACCAGACAACGGCGCATAATGCGAGGGTTTATTTGTTTTCCGAGCAACATGCCTCCGGCGCTGAAATGAACCCCTCTTCCCGTTAATATCTCTCCCGAGACTTGGCAAGCCGCATGCTTGGGGGTGTTGAGAAAGCGGAGATGCCCATACGTTTCAGCATCCCGCGACATCTTTGGGCGACTCGTCCTGGCCGTGAGCGCAAACACGCTACAATTTCTCCTGGGTACGTACGGATGAGTTGTTCCGAATTCCGTGCACTCGTCATGTAATGATTCCCAGGAGAGATCTGCCAACCGAACAAAAATCACCCTCGAGTCAAGGTAGCTTAGAGCCGAGTTATCTAGGCGAATACTGTTATGAAAACACAAACCCAAATCAAAGTACTAGCGTCGCAGTTGAACAGCTGTAACAAGGCTGTGTCGTGCCATTTTCACACCCTTCTGACCGTATAACGAAGCCAGCTTTGTATGCCCTTAAAGAGGATTGTAGAACCGCCATGTCACCTTGTTGTACAAACTGAGACGGCCAAGAGTGTCGACCCAACAGCCAGTCGTCTCGCGAAACCCCTAGCCCACAAACGGATATGTACTCCGTATGGAGTATCGTGCTCAAGATCCACCTCATCTGGTGGCGATTCAGGTTGCGTCTCAGCACCAGCCCCATCAGCTTCAGTGCTGCATCGCTTGGCCACGCCCATGGAACCTTTGCAACATTTGCTTGCTGGCGCCCCTGAAAATGGCTGTTCATGTTGACACCAGAGCACAATATATGATGCATGTGCTTTCACTTGCACTTGGCTGGCTGATAACGTGTCCCGGGGTAGCGAGGCCGGGAGCCGTAACGTCTCAGGTACTTGCGAAGGTACTGGCGAAGCCCTCCATGTTATGGCGACCCAAAGAAGAGGTTTTCAGGAGTCTATCAACTTGATGTACATTTGTTGACGGCTTTAAAACCGCGGCGGCTGATGCAGCGGCCCGCAAACGACCCTTGTCAACGATCTCAATGCATTGTACGTATCAATACGCCCAAGGCCAACTATTAATACTAGCTCAAGAAGCTTAACCTTCTGCTCCTTTCCCAGATGGGGAGACGCTCTATCGTTCCGCTGTTTCGATTGCTCACTGTCTTTTTTTTTTTGTTTTCCGTGTCGTTTGTCTGTTTAACAAGCCAGGCGTGGAAGAGCTCTGGTAGTTCTGACGACTTGGTGCTTTGGCATTGTCGACCCATTCGCGCCTGCCTTGGTTGCTCGCAATCTGTCTCTTTCTCTTTCTCCCTTCTTTTTTTCCCTTTCTTTCTTTCACTTTTTCTTTCTTTCTTTTCGTTTCAGCTCTTTATATTGGGCTCGGATAAACTGCTATATAATTTATGTTCTTTGAGATCTGTTCTTTCCTTCTTTGGAGCGATAGCGTATGCAGCTTCGTGTTACCGTTTATTTTCTTCCCTTCGCTGGCCGGATTGTATTCTAATTTTGGGCCCCGTCCCTTTCTTTTTGCTAGCGATATTTGCAAGTATTTGGGTCCACCGTTCGTCTGTCAGTGACGAGTTTGCATGTAGGCGCCTGTACACATTGGCACCAAAGACGCAGGCAAATACAGCCAGAGAGTCCTGGAGCTGGGATGTTGCATTCTCAGTTGAGGGCCAACCACTACATTCATCCACTCCGCAACTGATTTGCTCATCTACGCCTCGGCGCAACCGTCTCTGCAGCCAGGAATACTCATCACAGCCGACACCACCAATCACGACCGTATCCAAGCCCTCGGCTCCTGCTTGCCAGGATTTGCCCGCAGTGTTGGGTCATCGCCCATCACCCGTACCAACACGTGTTTACCTGCAGCTGGTCTGCGTATTGGCTGCGACCTAGCCTGTCATCGTGTCGGCCATTTGGAGACCAGGTGCTGTGAATCGCCCAAGAGTAAGTTCATTGTATACACGGAACAAACACAAACACAAACCCCGACGCGGGCGGACTTGCATCCTGTTGGTGGGCAAACGCACGGAGCTAAGACGCCGTTGTGTCCGCGGTATCCGACAAACAGGCAGGCAATGAACGCATGTCCCTTTTGATGCTGACTTGTTCTTAGAGTTCCCTCCGGCAAAGGGCAGTATCCGTAAGACTTCGGAAGAGGCGCAAAGAAGGGCTCAACAAACCGAGACGCCATTTGACCGTCTCCCACGTGCAGTCTGTCGTCAGCTTGTCAGCCCGCGCTGTTGGCGCACCTGGCGAACCCCATTGTCGGCACCCTGAATTCCTCTTCGGTGCTTCGCCCGGCTCGGCCATTGGTGTCGGAGTTTGGTGACTTCCCCCACCCTTCTTTGTGTCACGCATAATCCGGCGCATTTGTCAACCTTGGATGACAGCCACCTTCTTACTCTACTCCATCGCTATGACCTCCGAAAGGGTCTCGTCACCTACAGCACTCCACCCTGCAATCGGTGCCCACCAAGATGGCGAATCCCAAGTTTCAGTGAATAAAGGAGCCTTTGCCTCCCTCGACCGCCCCAAGACATCCAGTGCTGCACATGGTCTCTCCTTGAACACGTTCAAAGCTACTCGTTCTGCCGATGATCCGTGTACTCCATCTACCGCTGTTCCGGCCTTAGGTGGTGAATCCTCAAATTCACTCACATCTGACGTTGCTGATACTTGGCCTTGGGCGGCATCGACTCGCGCAGGCTATCTTGGCCACCGCCGGAACGCCCCCTCTCACGACTCCATCCCCCGCCAAACCATTATCAAGGCTCTGGCCTCTGTTGCACGGAACAACAAGCCCGAAGCACTCTCGCTGGACAACATGCTGGCAACACAGAATACCGAGACCCCTGGCTCTGCAGCATCGTCTCAGAGGCTTGCCGATGCCCTCCAGGATTTGGCGAGGAAACAATCAACACCCATAACAGCATTGGCTGCCATGAAGTCCCCGTGCTTTTACCATCAAAGATTCGACGATGCGGTTGACATTGAAAAGGTTTTGGAAGAAATCAAGAATGACGAGTGGATGTCACACTCCCGCCTTGTTCAGACGGCGACTGGCGTGCGTGAGGTGTCCAAACAGCTACAGCGGCGACCTATCAAACGCGCTGTGCGTAATGTCATGATTGTCACCAAGGCTCGAGACCACCAACTCGTTTATCTGACTCGTGAGCTTGCAACGTGGCTACTGCGCACACCGCGATACGGGTCTGATTTAGGAGTCAATGTCTATGTTGACGCAAAATTGCGCAGCTCTAGGAGGTTTGATGCGCCCGGCATCTTGGCAGAGAACTCGCGGTTTGAACACATGCTCAAGTACTGGACGCCAGATTTATGTTGGAGTCAACCCGAAAAGTTTGATCTGGTCCTCACCCTAGGGGGAGACGGGACTGTTCTTTTCACGTCATGGCTCTTTCAGCGAATTGTCCCTCCGGTGCTGTCGTTTAGTCTCGGCAGCTTGGGGTTCATGACGACGTTTGAGTTTGAAAAATACAAGTCACACCTGAGCCGAGTTATGGGCGACGAGGGCATGAAGATCAATTTGCGCATGCGATTTACATGCACCGTTTGGAGGCATGACGCCGAGGGCGCGCAGGTGGGCGAGGGGGAGCAATTCGAGGTCCTCAATGAGCTTGTTATCGATCGTGGGCCGTCGCCCTACGTCTCCAATTTGGAGCTTTATGGCGATGACGAACTACTCACCGTCGTGCAAGCCGATGGCTGTATCTTTTCCACCCCAACAGGATCGACAGCCTACTCTTTATCGGCTGGGGGATCTCTTGTCCACCCCGACATACCAGCCATTTTACTGACACCTATCTGCCCACATACCTTGTCCTTCCGCCCCATGGTACTTTCCGACACTATGGCTTTGAGGGTTGCCGTGCCTCGAAACTCTCGGGCCACAGCATATTGTGCCTTTGATGGCAAGGGCCGTATCGAACTGAGACAAGGCGACCATGTCACCATTACTGCGTCACAGTACCCATTCCCAACTGTCACCCGCACCGATACAGAGTGGTTTGACAGCGTTAGCCGAACGCTGCGCTGGAATGTCCGGGCTACGTTGCAGAAGCCCTTTGACGCCAATGCTGCATCCGCTGGCAGCGCTTCCCAAGGCGAAGATGACAGTGCCTGCTGGGATATAGACACCGACAGCGCGTACTTTCCCAGCGAAGAGGGAAGTGTTAGCGCTAGCCCTATTAGGCGACAGATGAGCATGTTGGGATTATAAAATAACATTACTACTTATGTACATGACGACATATTCGAAATGTCTTCTCGACAAAGAGAGCACTACTATATTGTAGATTTATACATGACCTTGAGGGCATTCAGGGCGTTACGATGAAAGAGTCGGAAAGCATTGGAAGGATATTTGGGTAGATATAGACACATGCATTTGAGAGCAAGCGTTCGTTAGTCCAAGGCATAGCGAGAATATTAGTATATTCTCTCTCTTTGCGCATGTCAACGAGGATATAATACAAGATATGAAACAGATTAGAGCTCTGTGCTACAAGAGAGTACGCAGTGTGGCATAGTGCCATCGGACTTGGTGTCATTGGAAATTCACGCATCTTGATCACGTCAAACATTCATATAGAAAAGACATTCTGCAGCACAAGTAAATGTTGTTGCCATTTCCCAGCCTCCATGCCATTTTACCATTCGTACGCCGATAACATGAGTCCACCTTGCCACCCACGCGTTAGCTCCTAGGCCGTACAGCAAAGCACAACGTAACCCAACATGTCCAGACAGAAACATCCACCAGGCAGAAAACGGAAAAAAACCCAGCCCAAAAGATCCAGTTCATCATGAAAAATAAACAAAAACTCCCCTTGCAGTAAGGCATAATATTTTTTTTAAGAAAAAGGAAATTAGAAAACAAAAAGTGAAAAATGATTTCATCGACACCTGTGCTTCAGTTTCCTGAGCTTTGATATACATGTACTACTACTCCAGATATTTCACGGCTACATCTATCTCCACGCCCCTTGGCTTAGGGACAAGAGGCCAGCGATGCAGTCCATGTCTGGTTTCTTGCTGGGGCTGACATCCCCGCGCATGAACTTCTCGACATCATCCTGTCGAGAGTTCTGCTTAGCATCGTCGAATACTTCAATGGTAGATTTCGAACTCAATGGGGACGGAGCGGTTTGAGACCGATTAGAGAGCATTGCAGGCCCTTTGTGGTCTTGTAAGACGCGGCCTAGACGGCGAGGGTTTTGCATCTTGGTTGCTGGTACGGCGGGGAGAGGGCGGCGGCGGTGATGGTGAAGATGAGCATCTGCGTTGCCATCTTCGTCGGGAGACCAGTTCTCCTTGTCAGAGTCGGTAGGAGACACAAGCATAGAGACGTTGACCTTGCCGCTGACATCTTTCTTTTCTGTGTCAGCGTCGACGGATTCCAGGCGTACAGAGGTTGAGGCTGTTCGGTGAAGCTTGGCCTTTTTTGCCTGACGCTGTTGTTGGGGCCTGGACAGCGACGCGTTGCGTTTTGTCGAGCTAGGTTGTAGAATCCCGCTGGACGATCGGAGCAGGCTTATTGCAGCAATTGCCGAGCCGTTGGACTCGTTCTCCGCCTGGGCGGTCAATTCGTCGCGCCTTTCGGAATCAGCGCACGACTCCCATGCATGGACGTCTCGGGAGCGACCTCGCACAAGACGGGGTGGTAAGGAGTTGGTAAGAGCGGAGATTGGTGGCAGCGTGATGCTTGGTAGAGCGGATTGGCTTCGAGACAGGCCTGTTCTTTGTCGTGGTTGGGGACCGGATGAATCTACCGAGGATGTCCTTGGGGATTCGGGGCGCGTGGGAGACACAAGGTTGGAGATGAGTTCTGCCTTTCCTTCGAGAGACAGAGAGAGCCGTACATTGGACTGAGATTTGCTCTGGCTATGTGTCTTGTTGAACGAAGCTGAGTGAGGCAGAGACTCTAACCTATGAGCGCCGTTAGTTTCTAACCACATGGCCTGATATGGAACTCGTGTTTATTTTTAAGAGAGGGGGGGGTTAAAGAAGTGAAAAGAAGAGAAAAGACACTAGGAAGAAAGTAACAAAGGAAAAAACACACCTAATAGGTTCATCTTCACCGTGGCCTAATGTCGATGGTGATGAAAATGAGCTTCCCAAGTTCCAGCGATTAGCCAGATACCCGACGGAGCTGGAGAAAGAGTGTCTCATAGACTCAGAATCCTGACTCCTCTGCGAGGACGGCGCCTCTTGGCTTTGTGGCGGTAGCGTATCGATATGCCTTCCCATTCCCCCAGTGCGAGGCGTCACGATGGCCGCATCGGAATATGACCTAGTCAGCTCTGGTCTGGTCTGTCTCGTCGTCAATGGCGGTGACACGGATCCCTGGTGGTCGGCAGCGGACCGCGAAGAAGCCGGATCCGAAGACTGGAAGCATCTGTCCGAGTCGATGCGAGACATGGCAGGATCTGACGAGGGGACGTGGTGCATGCCACCAAAGCGAAGAGCGGCGAGCTCCTCGGGCGAAAGTGGACGCGATTTCCTTCGGTCGTTTTGGCGGCGGTTCTGGAACCAAATCTACAATTGTCAGTTTCATCTCGACCATATTTTCCCAAGGCCAAGGTCCGTCCAGTCGTCGACTCTCTGTGGGGGCGTAATTGGCGCCAGACATACCTGGACTTCCTTCTCATTTAGCGAGACGCGATCTACAATGTCTTGACGCGCCTGCTTGTCGGGCTTGGGGTTGCTTCGGTACGCCTCCTCCAGGATCATCTTGTCCTTGGCACTAGATTTGCCAATTGGCACAGGTTAGCCCACCTGGACGATTGCAAAACGTGCCCCCTATAGCTTTGCAACGGGGATCAAACATACGCGGTCCTCTTCCTCTTGCCCTTGGGATGCTTCTCCATCTCGGCACCCTGAGCAGGACTTTCGTCTCCGGCACTCAGCATGCTCTGAGACAGAATTGAAGAATCATGTTGGCTGGGGGAGCTGGCTGATTGCTGCTCCGGAGAGGCGGAGGGCGTGGTCGTCGACATTGGGTTTTCTCGTCGGCGGCGGCGGTGGCAGCAGCAGCGGGGGAGGGATCGTGGCGGGATTTGGTGGTGAGGCGAGTTTCAAGAGTCGTAATGCATTACTAGGCCCCCAAGTCTATGTATTTCAGCTCCGGATATCGACCAAAGGAGGAAGAAAGGGTAGGCCGCCAGGGAAATGCAAGAAAAGAGACCAAAGGCGCCCCAGGCACAGGTTGATGGGCGAGATGGGAAAGAGAGGTGCACGAGAGCGTGTAAGCGTGTACGTGGGACGTGGGCGTGGAGTATTACGGAGTTGGTGGTCTAGGAATGGTTGACTGAGCAGGGCACCCAGGTACCCAGGTGCTGGGTATACCTACCGTAGACGGCCGCTGGGGGTACATGCGCGAGTGCGGCCCTGCCATACAAATACGGAGTAGACGCAACGGCCAGCATGCGCAAGCACACGCACACGCACAAGTAGTGCTGCCCGAGGCGAAACCCACACTCAAGCGCGGCCTGGACAGGGGGGGAGCGTGGGAGGGCGTGTACAATTGATGCTGCTCAAACCCGCACATAAACCCAGCAGAGACGGTCGTCCAGTATTCCTATGCCTTGCACATGAGACGGGCGCGTCGGTTTGCATTGGCGCGATTCCAAACCCGCCTCGTCTCTGTATTCCCCCTTCTGCCACGTATTGTAGCATGTAGTAATTCGTATTCTACGTTGTATACATACATACGTCCTCTGAATCAACGGCAAATCACATCGCGCGCCTGGCGTGGCCATGTCCCAAAGAGGAAACATGTCAACACGCGTTGCACGTGCAAGGGGTGATTTGACTCTGAGCCCAAAATACTGAAAAAAATAATAGACTAGTCGTATGTACATACCTAGGTACTAGTACTCCATAGGCCCAGCCAAGTAAATAGAGTGGCTGCGTCCCTTTTTTCTATTGACTCTCCCACACGCCCCCGGTTCATGGCAAAATAATAGAAGACAACCAGACCCAATCTGTTAATGGTCCCAAGACTGGTTCGTCCACTATTTTTGGGGGCGTGTGCACAAGGATGCGTTGTCTTTTATTTTTTCCATGTTTTTTTTTTCTCTACGGAGTGCTATTTGCCCGCTTCTTTGTCTTTGAGGGCACGCGTCTTGGGCTGGGGTTGCTTGGAGACCGTTACACAACATAACAAAACAACTTTAGATCCTGGACGCTAAACCATGATCTGTGCGTTCTTCCACGATTCCAACCTCTGAAATATGAGATGAGTGATGCTGTGCTCCGTACACAAAAATTTCGAACAGCGCAGGCATTGCGTTCAATTACTTTCAGCTACATGAAGTGGCGTGTCGGCCTATCTCTTGCATTCCGCTCGCACAGCATTATAATTATTGCATCAATTCTTCAGATTTTTGCGTGTGTTTTTTTTTTTTTTTTTGGCCGTTGGCCCGTTTCGGGCTCCATGTCTCTCTCTTGCTTCCCACGTAATGGGGCTACTTTGTCTCGAGTGCCAATGTAGCTGCCAGCATGCTTCTGTCCACTCACATTGATTCCCAGATCATCCAAAGCCAAGAGGCACGTCTGTTAGTTTATTGGTCTTGCCCGGATCTCTTTGAGCCCTACGGCCATTCTCTTCCCCATACGATAAAGGCTTTCCCCCTTCACCGTTCTTTCTGCCCCGCAGACGCGGCGGACGCGGGCCGTACTCACACGTCACACGCCCCCCCTCCTTCCCGGGTCTGTGCTCCGCCCGACATCATCGGGTTGAGAACCGTATTCTTTCCTTCCTTCCTGCCGCGGACAATCGCTGTATCCATCATCCGAGTATGTCGTAGTGTAATCTCGATTTCGGGATGCATCAAGTCACGAGACCATGTCCTACGTCTGTAGTCATGTTCGGGCACCAGGCAGGATTTGGCCGCCTTTCGACGACCCTCGTGTCACTGGCTTGATTGCACATCGGCCTACAAAGCCAAAGGACGTGGAATGCTTCTTCTACAGCCAGCGGCGTGTAATTTCCCAAGTTCTCGTGAAGGACGTGTCTGTACTGCTACGTTTGAATCGAACATGGTGAGACTCTGACTCTTGCACGAGATCCCAAGCTCGTTAATGCCCATGCCCCCACACAGAGTTACCCACCAAGCATAACAACACGACCAGTTGGTCGGCGGCATGGCTGAGGAGACATGTCAGAATACCTCGAAAAGCCAGTTTATCCACCAAACAGGCGTTTTTGTTGTCACC